CCAAGTTTCACTGTGCTCCCTACAAAGGAACTTTACCTCACTCCTCATTTCTTTGTCTATTAGAAGAAACATGAAAGAGCCTATTAAATCTAAAATTCAGAAAGATGCTGGGAGTTTAAGACAGCAGTTGTATATTGGCATACTGATGTTTTTAGCACCGAAGAAGGAACAGGGTAGGTCTTGTAGTTCTCAAGAAAACACTGAAATAAAGAAAATAAAACTACATTCAAGTACTTGGGGATAATTGTAGTTTGGGGGTATATTCTGAATACCAAACATAATTTTGAAGGAACTCCAACTATTTTTAAGGAGAGTAGTGACACATGGAAGTTATTTTCATGTTAGCTGGAGAGACATCGAAAGAAATGCAAATTTAACCCTCAGACTGGGAAGGGCAAAACTGCAGCACATTCCACTTCCATGAGACTTAAATAAGTCTCTTCACTACAGACAAATAAAGCTCTTACAAGCAAATCACAGATCTCAGCTCTGCTCCTTCCAGGAGGTGCTGCCAGAAAATCTTGACCTCTTATTTCTTTTAGCCATGTGGTTGTATATGATTTGGGTGACTATAGTAATCACAGGCTCTTTGTTAACATACCAATGCTGTGCATAAACTACTGAGGAGTCAATGACCTGGGCTCATCTTCCTCCCAAGGCATCGATCTATCCTGATCAACATAGTGATTTAACTGCTGCAATGCATTCACTATTTCAATCAGATCATGGTATAAATTCACTAGGTTGAATATAAGAAGAGTCTCACCATTTCCTTTTCAAATAAAAATAATGAAGCTAATCACACCATTATAAAGAGGCACTCGCAGGACATCAGATACCTCAGGTAACCCAGAACTCCTGAACCCTAAAGTAAACTGACATTTACGGTGTGTCCAGCAAAATAAAATGAGATGGAAAACAGCAGCTTTTTACATACCTACATTGCCACCTACAAGACTTAAACAGGAATTAAAGAGGATGAGCTGGAAATGCTGTCTGGCATAAAGCTGGTGTCTTTGGGGAAAAGTAAGCAGGTAAGTGGAGAGGAAAGGGATGTCCCGAATATGCTACAGGGATTCGGCAGTTAAACCAAATTTTTTGTTTCTCTCACTGACCCAAATATATTTTAGCTATTTTGAAGTACAAGCATTAGTCCACTTCTCCTATAGAATGGTGTACAGGAAGAGGAAGGCTAAGAATAAGGTCATACACCAACCATGCACCATGTTCATCGTCACTCAGACTTTTGAAGATAAGCAATAATGAGTTAAGATATACACCAAAATCACCTAAATTCTGCTCTCTTTGAGCATCTGTAGTTTAACATTAGTATTATTTTGCCTGTGAAGACATTGTTCTAGAATTGAGGCTCTGATACTGATTCTATCCCCTTGCTAAATATAAGCACATGTCTACATGAGACATATTAACCCAAGCATCCCATACAACTGTGCAGTCAAACTTTTAGTCATGTGCCTAAAATTAACCCTGTTAAATTTTATAAACTGCTATTTTATTCTCAGCCACACCAATCCCTACACAATGTTATCCCTTCTTAGGCCTACAATGGACCCCTATAACACATATGGATCCCTGTACATTAGAAGCCCTGACAAGAACACAGGAATTCACCATTGATGCATGCTATAAAACTTGGCTCTGGCCATTCTGGATTGCTTAGGGAATCTTAGGGAATCTCTATTTTCTTTTGGTCATATAAATGGAGTAGATCATAGAATCATAAAATAGTTCAGGTTGGAAGGGGCTTTTAAAAGTCACCTAGTCCAACTCCCCTGCAAGTAGCAGAGACATCTTCAACTAGATCAGGTTCTCAGAGCCCCATCCTACCTGAATGTTTCCAGGGACTGGGTATCCACCATCTCTCTGGGCAACCTGTATCAGTGTTTCGCCATCCTCATTGTAAAATTTTTTTTCCTTATATCTACCTTTAATGTACCCTCCTTCCATTTAAAATTTTTGCACTTCTTTCTGTCATAACAGGCCCTGCTAAGAAGTTTGTCTCCATCTATTTTACAACTGCTACTTAAGTATTCAAAGTATACTACCTTCTCTTCTCCAGGTTGAATAACCCCCACTCTCTCAGCCTTTCCTCACAGGAGAGGTGTTCCCTCCTTCTAATCAACTTTGTGATCATCTGTTGGAGTGGGTCCTGAAGAGAGCTTTGATCCTCTTGTACTGAAGGATGAAGCATCTCGTTACCAATTAACAGCTTGAGAAAGCTGTTCCAGGTAATCCTCTAATACATCAATTAATCATCTTCTAAAGATGGGGACATCATCAGGCAACTACAAGTGACTATCATCTGTTCAATAAAGAAGAGCTAAGGTTACATTAGCATGAATCTTGCTTCCACATTCTCATTTTCAGGGATCAGCATGTTATTGAACTGCACATCCTAAAAGAGCATGAGACATTACAAAACAATTTTGATAATGTGGTAACACATTTTTCTGCAGTGAAAACTGCAGGACTATTGCTCTAATGGCCAAGCTTTTTAAATCAAAAAGTCAACCACTTCTTCCTTGGTATGTCATGAGGCCATCAGGTTCAGAAGAATTAAGACAGCATATCTCTCATGAGTCTTTGATGTAGTATTGGCCCTGTTTTTCTGGTTTAACAGCTTATGAATGGTATTATACTGAGCTGTAAATTTAGTCATAAGCCTAACAAGCTTGCATTTTACCTATGTAAACTATTCTCTAGAGTACAAACAATGTATATTTTTTTTCCACAAAAATAAATATTATTATGATTATTTATGATCTTAAAAAGATATGAAACTGATGTGGAATAGTGGCAAGTAACATCCTGCAAAGATTGTGTTCATTTTAGTTTTGATCTGCAACTGTATTTTTAAGTGTTGCAAAATAGACAAAGCAAAACCTGAACATACATAGACATACTTGAAAACTTCATGAGATAAATTTATCTACTGATGATACAAAATTATCTTATATGTATGAGGCAACATACTGACTGTTTAAAACCTAAGGTGGCCTTTGTACTTCTCCCTATAGGGAGCTCCAGTCCAAATTCTACTTTTGAGCCTTCTCATCTCTGATGTCCATTCAACTCCAGATCTTTCAAGCCTTGAGAGACGGTCATCAGTAACTGGAACTGGAGTGAGATAACCTCACATAGCAGGATGACAATCATTCCTGCTCCATTCCACATGTGTGTAATTGCTCAAGTATGAAAGCCCAGGACATCCTTATTCCAGTTGTCCTATTTTTCTTGGTAATAAATCAAATTAAGGTGTTGTCTTATTATGTATCAAATACCTTGGTATGTACCTTTTACTGTGGTTGCTACAGGTCCTAAACAAGTGAAGGAATGCATCATTACATCTTCACAGGAGCTGGCAGAACACACAAGAAGAAGTTCACAGCATACAATGATAAAGGAGACACAAAATGAAGGTGGAAATTTGCTTCAAGGACTTTCTACATAGGGACACCATCGAAAAGAAGATTAGAACATTGAGAAAAATAATGGCTCCACTGGAAGAACTGACTAGTGTGGGCATTAGATCTGAAAACCAGGCACCACTGGTTTGAACTCAGCTGTTCAGGACAGTCAGCTGTTGGCTTAACTGTTCAAGGAGTTGCATGCCCTCCACTGCATACATTTTTGCTGTAAGATTCCATGGTAATAGAGATTTAGAAGTAATATTAAAATTGCACACAGAGGAATTTTCTCTACATGAATATAAATATATCTACTTTAAAATGAGAATTGTATTAACTAATTAGTTGTATTGAGAATCATATTAACCTATTAAACCTTAAACCTCTGTACTGCACCAAACTTTGTACATGCATTAGTCTAGTAATTTCCAGAAACATCTAATGGCCATCACCTCCTCACCTCCTCAAACATCTACTATGTCTGAATTATGACTCAGGAAGTCTTTTTTTTTTTTTTTTTTTTTTTTTTTTTTTTTTTTAAATTATAGGGCCATCAGGAAATAATGTTGAGTATTATAAAATTTTCTATGGAGCATGTTAAGTAATTCAGAGGAAAAATTAGAAAGATGATCGAGTTTCAAAGTGGTTACAGCCCAATTTTCCACATACGAAGCAAGTTTACCAAACATGAAGGAGGTTTACAGGAAAGTATATGGAATAAACCCCAGCAGGTTTCATTTTCTACCACACCTAATCACCATGATGGCAGAATAAATATCTGGCAAAGAAACACAGAGCTCTTTCTGTAAAAGAAACAAAACCAACCAACCAAATACCCAATGAAAAGCATCAAGCCACTGAGTGAATTGTTCTTGAGCACTTGATCACTTGAGATCAATGGGGAATGACTGAAACATATTTTAATGTTGCAACTTGCAAGTAAAGGATTAATTTTTAAGATTTAAAGAGATTAAATAAAAACAAAATTGAATAGTTAAGAGTAAAAAGAATAAAGCAGTGGTCAGCTGGCTGAATAGGAAGTACTGTATAGTTTTAGGAGTTTTGAAGTTAGTAATGCACAAAAAGGGAGTGGTGAGAAGAGCTAAGAATCTGGCCATAAAAAGGTGTGTGTATGACACACATCCAAATGTCAAAGAGGTGATACTTGGGAAACTGATAGGACTACAACAGGTAGTAAACATGGGTTGGCTAAGGTCCTCCTCAGTGGAACTAGATCAGATTCTCGTTAAGGAGAGAATGTGATGTGTTTCTGATCCCAAAAGAGTTGAGGAGAGCACACCACCACCAAAAGTAAGGCTGTGGGGAAGACAAGGCAGTCCAGTAATTGTGGATGACTTGAGCTTTTACCATCATGGACATGCAAAAAAGAGATTCCAGACCTGGTGACATGAATAAGCAGGTCTGGTTGGAACACAGCCTGTAACATGAAACCTGGCACAACCAAAACATGAGCACACCTTACCAACCTGCTTGCATGTAAGCAGCCAGGTGTGTTTCCCACCCAGGAAACATCGTCACAGGGGCACACCTAAGCTCGAGGCTCGGAGAAAACATTTCGGGCCCACGTTGTTGTGTCAGGTGCCTATTGCTCTATCAGCCCTCGTTGCTTAAGTGCCACCATTGCGGCAACGGGGCCCTGAGGGACGAGCCGAGCCGTGCCCGCCCCCATTTTGTGCCACCTCGGGCCCGACCGCTCCCGCGGGGCTCCCCCGCCGCCGCCCCCCGGCGCAGGAGGCTGCGGGCACGGCGGGACCGGGCTCCGTCCCGCCACGGCCGCCCCGGGCCCCGCCGCCCCCCGCACTACATTTCCCGGCAGCGCGGGGCGGGGACCGGCCGGGCCTGGCCGGGGCTGCTGGGAGGGCCGGTGCCTCGCCTGCTGGCTTTCCGGAGCGCCAGGAAGGGAAGGGTTGTTTGGGGGTTTTCATTGTAGGTGCAGCCGAAAGGGGGAAGCTCCGCAGCCTAACAAAGCATCACCGCTTCCTCAGTTCCCACTGGGACCGGTAACGGGGGGCAGGGTGGGGGTCCAGCCGGGGCCCGAGTGGTTCTACGGGGGAAGCGGTTCCTTCTTCTGCAGGGCTGTGGCACTTCAGAGGTCGGATTTGAAAATCATGTATTTAATTTATGGTTTCTGTAATCACTTCGCAGGCATCCTGGAGACTAACAGCTGTTGGGGGATCGTGGTGGCTCCGGGCTGGGACTGTTTGTGGGTGTTCATTCCAAATGCAGAAGTCAGGCCCTGAGAGGCTGTGGCTGTACACTGCTGTACACCCTGCTAGGAAAGACCAGGAATGTGAGGTTGGCATCTGGGCCATCTCTTTGGCCGTACCTTCCTGACCGATGTTTTGTTTCCCAGTGTTATGCCAGATGTAAAAAAGGCAGTCTATGAAGTTGCATAAACATGCAAAACAAAACTGTACCCACCAGTATTTGGGAATGCACACAAACAAATGCGGACAAAGTGAAAATAAGAACAGAATTCTTAAAACTCATCTTTGGCGTTTGTTCCTTCTAACTGAAAACTGGTGCCTGAGCTGGTCTATGCATTTTCTTTGATCAGAAAGTTGATAGATCACTGTTTTTCTTCAAGAATTAATGGTGACCTATCAATTAAAAAAAAAAATAATTGAGGTTTTTGTTGAACATGATGGAAAGTTTTTTCCCACCTTCCTTACTGACCTTCCCTTCCTAATATATTTTTTAATCTCAGTTTTCAGATGTTTAGAAATTTAACAATGGAGCCACATGTCCCCATACAGCAAATGTAAGTCCAGTGAGAAGAGTTTTAGTTGTCATATGTTGAGCATGATCCACAGATTAAACAATCCATGGATCACAGCTTAAAATGCAACAGGTAGGCAGATGTACATTGTTTACCAATTCGGTGATACCTTCAGTAAGTAATAGTTCTTCTAATTGCACAATATAAATGTTATGTGCCTATTCGCTATTACCTACAAGGGCAGGTAGTGAGATAAAACCCCAAGACTTTAATTATAGTGCTTGATATACTAACATGTACAAACCAAAAACATGCACCTTACATACAAAAGGGGTTTTTTTCCTACGGGAAGGTTCACAGACATTATCTAGAGATCAAAAGGCAGAAAAGCAACATTTCCACGATTATTCAGAAGTTGCTGTAATGCACAAGTATGTCAATTATATTTTCTTCATGTATCCATCGGGAACATGAAACACAAAACTGTTTTCTGTGGCTTAGGAAGTCCCTGACTGAATGCGTCCACATGCACTGAAAGAGCGCTTGTTTGCTTTCTCTGTTCTTACACTGTTTGCCTAAGTAAGTGCTGCGGCTGCATGAGGACTAAAATACAAGGTTAAATAGATGTTTTGACTAACACAGTATGGCTGTTCTTCTGCAATGAACAATCTTGCTGCCAGTACTGTATAGGTATGGGTTGTGTCAGATCAGCTGTGTAATTTAGCTTTCTAAAATGAAACACTTATTTCTTTAAACTACTGCTCTGAGCAATAAGACTGTTTTCCACAATCACTTTGCAAAGTGTCCAGTACTTATTACATACATACATAAAAGACTGTTGAATCTCTGAAATTCAGACTTCTAGTAGGCAATCACAAAGAAAACTGGGTTCTTAGTGAACATACACTGATCCGACGCTTTTTCTTGTGTATGTATTCTTTTTATAATCAATCTGCATAAAATAATTACAATTTTCACCATGAAAATCAAGTCTGCTTTCCAGTTCTAAGAGAAAGGGAAGGGAAAGGGCAGTTTCTTTTCTTTCATTTACACCTTGAGGATGCCAGTCACTTGTTATCACCTACTTGCTTATTGTGAGAAACAATAAGCTTTGTGAGACAAAAATAAGCATTCAGTTCATCCACACCATTTGAGATGTTATATTCCTCTATCATACCTCTCCCCTCTCAATTCTTCCCAGGTGTTGAAATGTCTCTTAGGCAAAAGCTATTGCACACTGTGAAAGCCTGTTCACTCTTTGGTATACGTTCCAAGTTGTTCTAGATCTTTTCTGAGATTAGAGTAGAAAGCAGGGGAATTAGTTCACACTTAGCATGGAAGATGTGGCTTCATGATGGATTCATTGTGGTGTGATTATTGCTTTATATTTCCTTATCCTTTCTTCCCTGAAAAACTATTACGTCACTTTACATGTTATTCTGATATACTTTCACATGTTTTCCAAACTCTTTCCCTTCTTTAGAGACCACTGGGTTTAAAAAGCAAGAAATTTTCAGCCTAACATATTTTGAAACAAAATCCTGTCTAAAAGTAAGTGGTCTTGTGGTCTTGTTTTCTCCAAGTGTAATTTTCAGGGAACAGGAAGGAGGCTGAGGAAGATAACGTTGGTGGAACTCTCCTTCAACCACAGGAAATTAAATGGGCAACAGTAAAGATTTTTAAAAATGGCTTTCTTTGGCTTTCAGCTATGGAATTAACAGGCTACAGATTTCAAGTCTAGAACAGAAAAATATTTCGGAAATTAAGTGAGCAATAGTGAGAAATACAGACCTTTCAGAAAATGTAAGGGACTTATTTAATATTTAGATATATGAGAAGTGACACTGTAAGCACTCAGCTAATATGCTGCATTCAAATGGAACAAAAATGGAGCAAAAAGTTCTGTCTCTGTAATACTGAGATGATTTCATAGGATTTCTGTGGGTGAGGTTCCACACTTAGCAAGTGATGTCTTGGGGGGAAAAAAAAAATGGGGGAAAAAAAAAATCACAAAATCAGAATCTCCCATAGCTATTCAAAGTCAGCTGTGTAAAAAAGTTTTAATTTCTCAATTTCTAGTATAAAATACAGTGAAAAATAAAGGACTACAAATCTAGTGATACGTTTTTTCCCTCAGATTAGCTGAGAGTAAAGATCTCCTGAACAGGTTTAATTTCTTCAGAAACTTCCTTGAGACTTTTTCATCATACCACTTTGTGCTGCTGTGGCATCACGTGCATTGGCCTTTTGCCACCAATAAACATGATGCTCAGTTTATTCTATCAATAGCCAGCTACTACAGACATTACAATGAGAGCTGAAATGGGACAACAGAGAATTTTAAAATAAGAATCTTACATATATAATACTCAAAGATAATACATTTTCCCTACAATAAACTGTTGTAACAACTGCATTGGATGCATTTCAAACAAGTGTAGGCAAATGGATGTAACAAAATCCTCAAAGTGTAAATATAGTAATAAAATACAACAAAATGTAGTACGACTTAAAAAAGGGTTGAGAAGTGTGACTAAAAGAGCTGGACAGGATTTTTCCACCTCCTTTAGGATTTCAAATGTCTTTTTTCTTACACTCTCTAACTTTCTAACCTACAGAGTACTGCATAGGTCAATAGACTAAGTAGTACTCAAGACCTCAAAGCCCTGAATACAAATCATGTCCCTAGTTTAGATCAGAATTTTACATGAAGAAAACAGCAGTTTGCACTGCATGTTGTGTCACGTGTACCATGCAGCACCAGCGTGTAGCACTGAGGCATGTCTAGAACCACTGCGTGGAAATCAGGCCTGAACACTCTTAGCTTATTTTGGGGAGTTGTTCAACTTAATATTTAAGTGGACTATTAAGTAGACCATAGAAATCCAGATTTGCAGATGAGGGAGAGTGACATTTAAGTTTGAATGAAACCTGGCAAAGCAGAGGTAATTTAATCTCTGGTCCCTGAGAAATGAGCTGATCACTCCTAAGGCAGCAAGTTTGAAGTAACTCTTTTGAAATAACCAGGGGAGCACAGTGAAACAAGGCAGTACACTCCTGTAAATGTAAATACTTCATGCTCAACGTTCATGAATTTATATGTTCTCTGAGAAAATAATTTCACCAACATACTTACGTGTGAATTTCCTCTGTAGCTAAAGACCTAGTAACTTAGAAATGGTAGAGAAAAGGTCAAGTTAAAATCCAGAAGCAAAACAGTGCTGTGGCTGGTAGCTAAGTATGATATCATGGACATAAAAGTTAGTATAAAAAAATATAATCAATTTTTCCTTTCATAGCATTTTTTTCCAATTTACAGGCCAACAATGCAGAAGAATGTATCAGCCTTTATTTTCTTCACAGACATTAGCAGCATTATCCCAGCTTTTGAGAAATTCACGGCATCACAAGACATGGCAAGTATGTTCTGGCACTCACAAAGTTTTACTGAGGGACAGAGGATACTTTCTGTCTTATTGAGAGGCACTTACATGAGAACAGGTAAAAATCCTGATACTTAATAATCACATCAGCTGATACCCTAGAAAGTACAGTGCAGAGCTGGAAACCCCCATATCCTTTAGGCCTATTAATAACAAAGTAACAGAGGAGCAAAGGAGCAATTTTTTTTTCCATGGTAGCTTACAGTGATACAGGTAAGTAATGAAGCTGAACACTCAGAGAATTAGTGGCCACACATTACAGAGTGCATTAGAAACTCTGCACCTCACTCTCCCCAGACTGTTTAACATGTAAAACAATACAAAAAGCAACAGAATTTGAAAAGAAGGAAAAGCAGAGAAAATGAAGATTTGGTCTGGCACAGAGCCAGTATTCATTTCCTTCTTCCCCTATCATTTATCTTCACTTCTAGCCCCTACCTGCATGTAAGGCTGCCCTGGCTTTCCATCAGGGTACGGATATGCAAGCCCAGATGAGATATTCATGACTGCCCCACTTGGAATCTTCCCTCCAGCGCACAGAGGTTAAAATTAGTTCTTTGGTTATACCTTGCTGTTTCTGTTCTGTGTTCTCCTCCAATCCCTACTTATTCCTGTACTAGAACACACTCTCCAACCCACTGTTTTCCTGTATTTTCAATTAATAAATTAAAACCTTGCTAACTTTTCTTTCTGTTAACTGGGTATCAGCCTTGCTGTGTCGTTTCTCAGACCTCAAACCCTTTTTTGCTGGTTTTGCTTCCCTTGTGTCTCTAAGTTCCAAGTGGTAGGAAACTGCCTCATTCTCTTTATTCAGTGAGAATTATGAATTACCTCTTTTTTTTCAACTTATCCTGATGTTTTAGCCCAGACTCCTCCAGTAACTATTCACAATTTTTTTTTTTCATGAAGAAAGGAGAAAAAAAAACCTCTTGTGGGACACTTCCTCCTGCAGTACAGGCAGGTACTCTAATAAGTAATGATGCTAATAAGAACATACCATAGGCACATAGATGAGCATGCAAAAGCTCTGAGCAAACAGCTGCCCAGCAGCAGTCTCTTCGCAGCTGATTGTAGCAGTCAACAGACTACCTGTGTTCATTGTGCATAAAGTTACAGCTTATACATTGGCAAATAAAATCCTAGTGCAGGATCAGAAAACACATGCTGCTAAACAAAGCTGATTTTTAACAGCTGTTGGACACATAATAATATTTTATATTTAATATTTGAGCATATGCTGTAACATTTCTGCATCACACTAGAATGCACCTTTTTTTTCATTCATCTAACTGTTGTGAATAAAGTGGGTTAACTTTGGAGATGAGAGGTCAGCCAATGCTGCCTGATTACTAGGCTGATTTAATAGGCATTCCTGCATGGGTAAAAACATAATTTCACACACCCCTGTGTATAATACTACCTGTTGCCGTGGTTAGAGGCAAGAGCACCCATAACACACTTTCTTATGGCATGGGAACCCCAATTAAGTAGTTATGCTTTGCAAGCTTTCATTCCTATTGCCACACAATCCTCTGCTCTGTGTAAACATATAAATTTCATCACAGAGCTGGCCCATATCAACACTTTTTCTTGTTCTGATGAGGTTCACTGCCAAAAGTGCTTGGGGAATTAAAAAAAAATCTATGAGGTCCTGACATTGGAAACACATCTTAACAGGCACTGAACTATATGATCTGAGCATCCAGTGGCTAAGTCATGGTGATACTTATTGCTGGCATATTCCTCTTTCAATGAGAATTTGTCCCTCTCCTCATGTTTGAGAAACACCAAAGCTGCTGGTTATATTTGCTGTGTAGTTTGTAAATACTTTGAACAGATGTTAATGCAGCACATCTCACCCCCTTACAAAACAGGACTTGGCACTCTTCCCAGATGAAATGAATAGGGCAGCAGTGGGTAACAGCTGGTCACTTTTACAATTCCTGTGTTTTCAAATCTGCTAATACTGGGAACTAGAATTCCATAAACTTCCATTAGATAGGAGAAATCACTCAAAGGAAACGCACATAGTAAATGAAAATTCAGAATATCACTTAATCATCTATGTTCAGGATGGTAATCTTTCCTCTTGACTGGAATCTCCTTTGCCCCAGCTGTTCTTCTTCTACAGGAATAAGAAAGGAAAAGTTAATTTTGAGAAACTCTGGCTAAGTGGTTTTTGCCCTGTTTCAGAGGCAACGCAGGACACTTAGGCCTTCTATGAGCAAGGCACTAGGGTTTCTATGAAGACTCACCCCTCTCCTAGAAGTTGTAATGTGTGGCTAAGGACAAGTTTGTGTAGGCTGCAATTGCAGTGGCATACCTACAATTGCTAAAGCAGCTGATAATGCCAAAACTTAACCATAGAATTATAGAATACACTGAGTTGGAAGGGATCCATCAGGATCATTAAGTCCAACACAGGACAGGCCCTGCACAGGACACCTCAAGAGTCACACCATGTGCCTGAGGGCATTGTTCAAACACTTCTTGAGCTTGGTGCTGTGACCACTCCCCTGGGGAACCTGTTCCCATGTTCAGCCACTATCTGAGTAAAAAATCTTTTCCTGAGATCCAACCTAAAACTCTCCTGACTCAGATTCATGCTGTTTCCTTGAATCCTGATGAGAGTGAAGAGATCGGTACCTGCCCCTCTGCCCCTCCACTTGCCCTCATGAAGATGTTGAAGAGCGCAATAAGGTCATTTAAAGAATTATAGAGTAAGCATTCAAAGGAAGTAGAAAGATCAGACTGTTTACAATGATATCACACTATTCCACTTCAACAGCTGGGGTACAAACTGATGCTTTAATATCAAAATATTTATTGCATTTTGAGTGTCCTGATAGAAGAAAAGGAAGTAATATGAGAGCTTTAAAGAGAATATGGCTCCAACAGCATGACAGGATATTCTTGTTTGGTTTTTTACTCTAAAGTGAGAGGATGACTATTCTAATCACTATGCAATTGCATTTATCCAGCTTAGACCAACCTTAACTTTCTATTTGCTTTATCCATGCTTCTTGTGACACATCTATAATCAAGATTAAGTGGTGGTGAAGTCACCAGGTGAATGTAATAAAACATCTACCACAGATTCACATGAAGCATAAACAGCACTCTAGTGTGCTACTGGGTACACTGTTCTAGCAGAGGTGCCAATATCTACCCAACAACAGATGCCAAATGCTTTCTTGAAGTTAAGGTAGGCCAAAATACAATACAGCCCTCAGTAAAAAATGCTACAGACTAGCTGTACACTTACACAGCCAAGTACTATAGACACGCAGAAGGGACAGCACTTAAAAAGTTCCTCAAACATGTTCTTATGACTTGAATGACCTTGGGTTCCTTTGAAGACATCCAGTGGAACATTACACAAAACAAACAACACCAGTCCCAGTTCTACATTCCTGGAATTCTGACTGCACTCAAAAATCGGTCCAAAAGTAACATGGCAAGAGGGAGACATCCTCATCTGATACAAATTTTCATAGTTCCAATTCTAGACTAGAATCAAGAGTAATGATTCCATTAGTGTCTTCTTTGACACAAGACTCTGAAAGATGCTAATCTGACAGTCTTAAAATAGTTTCTCTACAAACTAGTTCTAGTCTTTTATAATGTGAAGTGTCTTTAGTCTTTCTGGTAAAGTGAAGCTATCTAGTGAATTTTGTTTCAGCAAGTTTCTTACATGCCTGAAATCTTCATACGAGGGGAAGGGGATGTGTGTTCCATCTTCTAGCGTCCAACTCCAATCATAAGGTCACTCTCAATGTTAAATACTATTTCTAAGTATGAATGCAAAACTCATATTTAAACCTTTTTAAAATTAAATAACTGGCGTGGTTTTTTAACACTTTCTTGTTGTAAGTGAGCCACTTCTAAAAGAAACTTCTAAAAAGAAAGCAGAAGCCAGTGTCACTGTTTGACTATCATTAGCCTTCTAAATATACTGCTTTAATACAATAATACTGGAAAGTAGGCATATTAACGATCACAATAATAATTTTCCAAGCAAATGCCTTCAGTCATATTTTTTCTGGTGGTACTAAGCATTGTCTCATCATACAAACTTACCTTGAAGTTTTAAATATTCAGCAAGTTACAGTTCCGAGTTCTGCTGCCTAAGGATGAGCATACGGTTAAAAAAAAACCTCCAAAACAATGGTGCCCTAAGGGACTCGTGTATATATAGCAGTAAACGAAGAGCATTTCACTGAAATAGGTAACCAAATACTCTAATCTGGGTACAGTCAGAACTCATTTTTTAAACTGAAGTATCGTTCATTCCCTCAAAAGGACCCCACCCTGAAACGGCCACACTCAACCTGGTTAAACCACTTCCATGCAGCCTGGCTTCACACAGGCCGGGTGACCTCTTTACATCAGCCATGCCTTTAGGGGCAAGTCTCAGCACGGAGTGATAACCACCTCCTGTGTATAAATACCTTTCTTAAAACAAACAAAAAATCCACAACCTCAACAAACAACAACACGAACAAACCCCAGAAAAGTGCGGAGGAGTTGGGGCGTTGTCCCGAGGGCCTCCGCCCACCAAACTACTTCGTCCTTTGAGCTTGTGACCCTACTCCGGCCTCAGCGAAGAGCCCACGGAGGATAAACATCCTCGGGGTCGCAGCTCGCCTTCCCGGGGAGGACCCCACAGCTCCGTGCCGGGCCGGAATCCCATCCTAGCGGCCGGCAGCCCCGGGCGGAGTGCGGACAGCGCCGCGGCAGCTCCAGCCCCCCCAGCGTTCTGCCGCTGCAGAGCGGACACCGCCAGCCCCGGGCATCCGCCGGGCGCCGCGGCCGGGCGGGCTGCCTGGTGAAGGCAGGGCTGCCTGGTGAAGAAGGCAGGGCTGCCTGGTGAAGGCAGGGCTGCCTGGCTCCGCCCCGCTGTGCTCCCCGCTACCTTCGCGCCGCTCTCGCCCGTCCGCCCCAGAGCCGCTGCGCCGCTGCGCCACGGCGGGAGGCGGAGGCGCTGTGCCTGTCCTTCAGGCCGGCAGGCGAAGGTAGCCCGGTGCCGGGGCGGTGTGGGCTGGGCGGGCTCCGAGGGACGGGACCAGGTGTGTGGGCGCTCGGTGGGAGGCTCAGGGCCGCGGTCAGCCGTGGGGAGGCGGCCCGAGGGGGCGGTGAGCTGGTCACTGCAGCCGAGCGCTGCGTGTGGGGTTCCTATGGTGCTGATGGGGTTGGTAAGCTTGCTGTGCCATCCGGCATCCCCCGGGGCCTGAGGAATTCACTGCTGCGCTTGGGCAGCCTTAGCTACGGGACTGCTGTACTTTTGTGGGATTGCAACTCTCCCGGTACAGTGAGAAAAAAAATCATGTTTGCCAAATGCTGCTCAGGTGATTGCGCGATCAACCTTTAGTCCTTCGGCTAGCAAGGGTGGTGTGCCAGCCTCAATCCTGCCCTGGTGATTCGTGAGCAGTGATCGTCTTTAAGACCCAGTTGAGGTCTGCAAAAGCCTGTCGGCGGTGAGCGTTGGCATTCGTGCCAACAAGCCTTTGCTGGCCAACTTATCTGCACTTGAAATCTCTCTGATAAAACATTGTAGAATGTCTGATACTTCTCTACCGCATAAAAGCCCTTCACACTTATGTCTGTGTGGATATAAGCATACTAAAAAACAATACAAGGCATCAGAAGTGATCTGAGACTTTATATGTGCCAAAGGCCCCCTTGGTTAATTCACTT